AAAAAAAAAAAAAAAAAAAAAAAAAAAGCATTTAGGAAATACTCAACAAATGTTTAGTGAACGAATTAAAACTCAATAAATACCTGTGGACTAAATATTTTGCTCAAAACATACAAGTCTGTTGTAGATCTGGGGTTTCATCTGAGGTGTGTATCACACCTGACCACGAACTGTGGGAGGCCTGGGACTGGACACCCATGCGGTAATGCTCCCACTGAGACTTACAGAGCAAAGAAATTGTATGAAATTAGTTAAATCATAGCACAAGTAACAACGTATAAAAATTGACTAAATTAGCCTGCCATGTGTATTTAAATCTGTGTTCCTCCAAAAACGTTATATGCGGAAATTAGCAAAAGGGTGCAACTACACATCGGATAAAAGAGTTCTATAATCAAACATACTTGGGAAACTCTGGGTAAAACAGAATGCAGTTAACACTCAGTAAATAGTCTAGACATAATTACCATGTTTCTCAGAGGCTTTATTATGAACATGTGGACTGCATCCCTCCATCAAGGGGATTCAGCATTCACCATTTTTTTAAAGTATTGGTATTTCACGACAAGAAACCTCAACACGCTTTTTTTGTTTACATGCAATACTTCTTGGGATGAGTATTCCACGGAACAGACTTCCAGCATGATACGCAATCACCCTTCAATATCAACGTACTCGATTTGCCCAGATGCACTGGCTGCCCTACCAATAACAACACTACACAACTGAAACAGACTAGGCATTGAATCTTGCGGAAGAGCCTACATTTCAAAGAGCTATGATCCCCCCAAAACTGGATTTTTAAACATCCCACCCAGGAAGCTAAAGCCAACTCTCTTTCCATGAGAATCCTTCCTCTCTTTCAACTCCAAACTAGAATCAAAAGATGCTGACTCAAACTGTCACCTCTGCTTACTCCTTAAGGCCCATGAAATGTAGGTTATGACAAGAGATCAGAGAGACACAATGGAAAAAGGAAAACAATTGTAGGCAAGGGTTTTCCTTCTAATCTGTATACAGCATTTCTTAATCTAAGAACCAAATATTAGTTTATATAAATACTAAAGTACAAGATTAAACAATGCCCACAATACTATAACTTGATGCTAACATACCAAATGGGATTACAAATATCTTAAATAGTCATCCCCAGTTAGAAAATGATGTGTTAAGGTTGCAGTCATGGGCCGAGAAATACGGGAAGGAGTAAGCGATAGAAGATACACACTCCCCAAAGGAAGAGATAACTTATGTTTATTTCCCTTCGGTGCTCTAGACTTCTCTGAAAATATGTAAGGCAATAGGTAAAGGAATTCTCTCCTCACTCCTAGTAGCCAGGCTTTTATTTCTAAGGTTTGGTTGGAAACAACAAGTTCCTTTTCCCCTGTGTGGTTGGTGACAGAAGAGACAAGAGAGAGAAGAAGGAGAGAGAGAAGGTACCCCATCCAGGCAACCATTCCAAAATGAATATTGTTTTTGACAATCTAAGAAAGTCAAGAGGACACCCAGAGAGTCAAGGGAAGATTTTTTAAACTCTCATGCAAGAGGGAAGTGACGCAGCAGTGGAGAAGGGATGGAGTCAGAACAGGGGTTATATCCCCTCATTCTGGGAGGAGGCAATGAGTGCTGTGTGTTCAGGAATGACATGCTACCTGCAAGCTGTGCCTGAGTGATGCCCACGGACACGAGACTCAGCACCAGGGCTTGGAAGAAGCAGCAAGGTTCCCTGGAGTTAAGCCTGGAGACAAGCCTGGAGCCAGCAGAGAGAAGGAGCGAGATGAAGTCATTTCAGTGGCCCACGGCAGCACTGCCTAAGACACTGAGGTTTCCAGAGCAGGGGGACAGCAGGACAATGAGACGCTGTGTCAGTTAATAACCAGAGGTCTCTCCATCCCACTTCCTGAGGGCAGCAAGCCTCAAGCTCACATACAGTCCAGGGATCCGCCACAGCAAAAACTGATACCTGACTTCCCATTAACTTCACTTAGAGCCTTGTAGCCAGATTTTACATGATTTTTAAAGAAATAAAGATATAATATAGCTTGCCCATCAATTCTATTTAAAAAAATGCACAGGTGCTACATAAACATTCTCATAATCCCTTTCCTAAGGAAAGGCCTCCTCTACTGCTTCTTTCTGAGGAAGGGGGAGAGATCTAGCTAATTACATTTTGAAGACTCTACAGGAATTTCCACCGAGGACACATTCTGGGTTTTGCTTCACTGAGAGACACTAGGATCTGGGGAAATTACATCTCACACAACCATCACCCTAAATATTTTTCACTTACTTGAAGCTGCCGCATTCCGCGTTTTTCTTTTCTTTTATGTGGCCCAACTGCTGGGCCACACCATCCCCACCCCAACGGGGTCCTGGAAGCTCCTCCAGGCTGTCATCTTCAAGTGGTAATCTAATTCAGTGGGTAAGAGACAGGCTCTGGAATCAAACATGTCTGTACTTGAACCCCCAGATCTGCCATGTCCTGGCTATATGACCTGACCTGCAGTAACTTATTTCACCACTTTAAGTCTGAGTTTTCTCATCAGTAAAGTGGAAATACTAAGACTAGCTATCTGAGACGGTTGTTGTGAGGATACAACAGAAAATGATGCAAAGCTCCAAGCATGATGTTTAGCATGTAATCCGTATATGAGAAATGGTAGCTATTACTAGCAGTAGAAAATCTAAGCCACTGAAGGAATATTCACTTATTACCATAACTGCCTTCAGCAGTGAGTTTCAAAATAACTTGCCTCTACCATACAAAAAAAAGTCACAATCAGAGGCCAGACTAATAACTTCCAGAGCTGATATAAGTATATGACACAAACATACATGTAAATTCAGATTTCAGACAAACTACCAAGACAAAAAATGCCCCAGCCATCACATAAGTAGTATCATTTCCGGGTATCATTTTTAAAGTAAGTACTGTCATCATTTAAAGTGATAAACAACTAATAGTGAGTTTACTAGACCAAGTTCTTAGAGCAGTTCAAGCTGGCATGTCAAATTCATAACATTATCTGTGGAAGATCATAGTAAATAATGAGCAAAAACATCCCTGGCAACATTCAAATAGAAATAATTTGTATTGAAGCATCAGTTCTGAAACAGATTTTTAAACCCTTGGCCGATAAATTTAATCACTAGTGTCCTGGTAAGTGTTGAACAACCGGCTCTCAAGAGGCACCTGATTTGTAGTGTTTGCCAATTCCCATGGTGTAAATACTCCACCATGGCCCATTTCAAAGGAACAATGAGTTCTCAAAAGCCAGTGCCAGCCAACAGCAGCACACCACTTAGATACAGAGTAGTATTCAAAATGGTTACACACTCCACCTCAATAGGGCTGTTTACAAGGAACCAAGGAATAAGCCCACAAGTAAAAGGTAAATATAGATAAATGATATACGGATTTTCTAGGAGGGTGACAGAAGCAATTTTGCAATGAGCTAATTCCATAGGCAATACTCAGGCTGCTTCCCTTTTAACTGCAATCCTCCCTCACTGAGAGCTGGTCCTCTTTCTGCACAGGTGGTCACATATACCCCAGCCTTGGATCATCTTCATATCCACTGACCCCACTATCCTCTTAAGATTCTTGCTAGACCCAAGTCTTTCTCTGGTTACCTGGGTTCTTAGGTTCTCTCTGTATTCATTTAATATCATTCACCAAGAAATGATGGCTTTCTTCCTTGATTTTCCTCCTAAGACTTGCCGTCTTCCCGTCTCTCTTATCAGTAAACCCACACCTATGCGAAAACCCCTCCAGCCGGTAACAGAGATACAGTTTCTCTATGAAGAGGAAGGAATTAGCTTCCCGTTTAATTAATTTGCTTATCTGCTCTTTCATTTGGGAACAAAAGAACTCAGCTTTTAGGAATAACATTTGGAAGGCTGTAGGAAAACCAAAATAATCTCTCTGTCTTATTCCAGCTTTGAACTCTAGGACACCCCAAGATGACTTCACTGCAGGAACCTGTGACTCACCAAATTCAAGGATTTTAAAAAGTAGACTTTATAAATGAAAATAAATTTCATGACATATTTCTGTTAATTCAAAATGTTGCACTTCAAACTTGCTTAACTGCTAAAAGCTGTTGAATGTGAGAGTCATCAATTCTCTACTCTCTCTGTACGTTACACTATAAAGTCAAATTATATTATTTCTGTGGCAAGAAAAAGAAAAAAAAGAAATCCAATGCCGGATGAAAGCGTGTGTATGTGTGCTGGTGATGAAAGCACAGCAATGTGACTGTACTTAATGCCACTGAACTGTACACTTAAAAACGATTACGATGCTACATTTTATGTAACGTGTTTAACAATATTACACGCACCAAACGTTACTATGTGTATCAAAAATGTTTGAAAAGTCTCTTAAAATGTAAAGAAGAAAAGAAATCTATTAAATAGAAATTCTGCCACTCTGCCCTTTAGAATTTCAAGTAAGACAGTAAACCAGATTTTTTTAAACAAATAAATAAAAATAACACCCTTTAATATTGCCTGTGTCCCGTTACAGACCAGACGTAAGGGCGCTGAGTGTTGAGAAAGGATGCTTTTGCTCTGCTGGATCAATGTTCTTTTTCTCAAAGGTCTTTTATATATGCACTACAAGGAACTTCTCGGGCTCGTATGAAGGGCTTATGGTTTAATCAGGAAAACAAGTGGTCAAAAAGTCAAAACGTACTGCATTCTTTGCCTCTCACTGGGTCAGGCAGGCCAGAGCAGTCCACTGCAGAATTCGGAATGGCAACTCTCCATCTGGAGCCACTGCTATCACATTCTGTATATTCAAAGTGGTAATCTTCCTGCAAATAATCACAAACACAAGCCTTTGTTAGAGCCAATTTTAATGGGACAACTGCGCTTTCTCAATCATCCCCAAACCTGCCTGGAAGCCTGGCTGCAAACTGTTCTCTCTGCTTGATCCTTATTCTTCCCCCACTCCATCCACACCAAGCAGTACTTTGATCAAAAATGTATCATGCCAGGCACTGAGTAGGCGCTGAGGATCTGACAAGGGCCACGACAGTCAGGCGCTCACGGGGTGACCAGCGAACTGTACTCTCACCCACCCCAAAAGGCAACAGCACACAGTCCCTATTTTTTGCAGGCTTCTTAAGCTCTAAATAATTGATAGATAGGAATATAAAAGCAAAATAACCCTAGGAAATTGAAGGCTGTCACTGTCCCAAATTTTTCAAAGAAAGAAATAGGAGAACTGTTCCCATTGACCTAATTTCTCACTCTGTTTAAAATTTAACAGAAAGTAGAATGATTAATCATCCAAATACTAACTAAAAGACTACCAGTTTTTAAAGCAGCTCTCCCAGGCTCAATCTCCCCCACCACAGCAAGCTGCCTTCAATCACAGACTGTAACACAGACCATTTACTACAATCGCCAAATAAGACCAACGCACTTGTCTCTGGCCTCTATCTTCACTTGACCTCCCCTGCTCAGAGCACATTACACCCGTGAGATGCTTGAGCTGAGAGGAACGAGGACAAAATGTCATTAGACGTTTCAAGAATGAGAGAAGTTATAAATCTACTCCAAAATATTTCAGTTCAGTATCTTAGAAGTTGCTAGTCTGCTTAATCTACTCTGTTTGCCTCCTTTACTGTATCAATGACAGGAGTGAATGGAAATATTGCCACATAAGCATCAGGAAACCAGGTGGGGAAGTTTGTGTGTATATATGTTATATGTGTGTGTGTATGTGATGTGTGTGTGTGTGTGTGTGTGTGTATACATGGAAAGAATACCAGTTAAAAGGCTGGTTCTGGGGCTTCCCTGGTGGCGCAGTGGTTGAGACTCTGCCTGCCGATGCAGGGGACACGGGTTCGTGACCCCGTCCGGGAGGATCCCACGTGCCGCGGAGCGGCTGGGCCCGTGAGCCATGGCCGCTGAGCCTGCGCGTCCAGAGCCTGTTGCTCCGCAACGGGAGAGGCCACAACAGTGAGAGGCCCGTGTACCGAAAAAAAAAAAAAAAAAAAGGTTGGTTCTGGAATCAGGTCTGAGTTTGAACTGACATCTCATTCCTCCACATACAATCAATGTGCTATACTGGACAAGCCACTTCGCCTCTCAAAGCAACCATGTTTTTCATTGGTAAAATTACAATAATAGTATTTCCTATCTTGTATGGCTCTTGTGGCAGTTAACTGAGATAATGTCTGTAAAATGTTAGGCATGTTAAGCTACACTGGGTTAGCACTTATTAGTGGTAGAATGATTATCCTTCTTAAGGGCAATGTGGGTACAGAGGATGATATAGAGGAAGGAGCTAGCGGTAACAGGATAAGGCGCAAACAACCTGAGTCTCTGTTTCCCCTGCTTCAACTTCTGCACACACTCATGATAAATGAGAAGGGACTGAACGTTAGAGAAGGTGTAATTACCGGGCTGGAAGCAAAGGCCTTATGCTGCATTAGGACTCTCCCCAGAATTAAGATTCAGTGTATACTTCAGGCAATCATCTCTGAAGAGTATTTTGTTCTCTCAATTTTTTTTTTTTTTACAAAGTTTGGTAACAGACGATTTAAGATTAAGTTATTTGACAAGAGTCTAGATTTCAAATATGTTTTACTGCCAACTGAGGGCAAACCTACATATGTAAAAAAAAAAAATCAATAAAATCTGCCAAATGGGAAAGGCTTTCCAGAGGGAAAGATGGGAGGAAGGAGGGGGAAAAGGGAGGAAGGGAAGTAAGAAAAGAGGAGAGGGAGGGAGGGAGGAAAACATAACAAAGGTCACTAAATTTGACAACATACAAATGTTAAACACTGTACACCAAAAGTCATCATAAGCAAAAGTAAAAGGTAAACAACAAAACAAACTGGTGAAGAAACACACAGCAAAGGTTAACTAACTTAAGAACGCTGGGTTTCCGAGTTCTGGAAGTGAAGGGTGGTGGTGGCTGTACAACAATATGAATGTACTCAGTGCCACTGAACGGGACACTTAAAACGATTAAGATGCTAAATTTGATGTTGTGTATATTTCACCACAATTTTAAAAATTAAAAATGTGAAATAAAAAGAATACTGGGTTTCTAAAGATCAGTAAGGAGAAGGACAAATAACTATTGGAAGAATGGTCAAAGAACACAAGCAATTCATTAAAGAACAATACAAATGGCCAAGAAGAATATAAAAAAAAGTTGAACCTTGCCAAAGAAATACAAATAATGATTTTCATCAAGTTGCCATGACATTTAAAATATATTTTTTTTAAAACTCCCTGAGGTAACAGTGCAGTAAAATGAGCACTTGTGTGCTTCCAATGGGAGGATAAAGTGTGCAGGCTTTCTGGAGAGAAACAGTCAATATGTACCCAGATCTTGAACTTGTTCAAAAACTGGAACCCCAAATTCGACTTCTAGCATCTAATCTAAGGGAGAAAAATGTTTCATGGGTTCAGTGATTTATGGCCCAAATTGCTCATGATGACTTTGCTATAGGTTGAGGGAGCATAATTAATAGTTGAGCATTATTTTCCACACGTATTTATATCATTAAATACTCATAATAATTCATGTGGATTAGGAAAAACAGGTAATATGATTCCCATTGTTCAAATGATACTCAGAATGGATAAGCGATTTAGTCAGAGATACCCAGCTAGTAAGCAGCATAGCTGAGAGCAGAAGTCAAGCCTTTTGTTTACTGACCGGTGTCTTCAGTTTATACAACGCCATTGTGCTTAAAGTAGAAGGTTACTGTTTTAAAAGAGAAGGAGTGGTCAAAGTTTTAAATATAAAATCCTGATGGTTACAGAAGTCTAACAGTAAATCATAAGGATGTTTCACGTTCAAACAGAATACGAGAGTGCACAGGTAAGCGGAAACCATTTGATTCCCCTCTTTCTGTATTAGTTTTCTATGGATGCTGCAATGAATTACCACACACGTAGCCACTTAAGACAACAGAACTTCATCCTTTCACCGTGCTGGAGGCAAAAAGTTCAAAATCTTTATCACTGGGCCAAAATCAAGACGTCAACCAAGCTGCGCTCCCTCCAGGAGCTCTGGGGAGAATCCACTCCATGCCTCTTCCAGTTTCTGGTGGCTGCTGCCGTTCTCTGCCTCTGTGGTCACACTGCCTTCTTTCTCCTCCCCCCTTGTGATTGTATTTAGGACCCATCCAGAAAACCCCCCACCTCAAGATTCTTCTTCACATCTTCAAAGCCTTTTTTTGGTCATACTCACGGGTTCCAGGGATTACTACACAGGTATCTTTTGTGGGGGGTGGGCGGTGGGATAGTATTTGGCCTACCACGATCTCCTAGTGCAGAAGAGCCTAGGCCAGGCATGCAGTTGCATGATGGTTTTCTTGTTCCTCTTGTTCCCAGTTATCTGCATTAAGAAGACTTTCCTGGGCTTCCCTGGTGGCGCAGTGGTTGAGAGTCCACCTGCCGATGCAGGGGACGCGGGTTCGTGTCCCGGTCCAGGAAGATCCCACATGCCGCAGGAGCGGCTGGGCCCGTGAACCATGGCCGCTGAGCCTGCGCTCCGCAACTGGAGAGGCCACAGCAGTGAGAGGCCCGCGTAGCACAAAAAAAAAAAGAAGAAGACGACTTCCCTATTTCCATATCCCACTGAGATCCTGGTCCCCGTATGTAAAATTCAGGTAATTTGTTATCATCCTTGCAAAATAATGATGCTGAGAATTCTGGCATGAATTTCAAATGAAGAAAGGCCTCTGAATAAAATAGGTAAGCTCAAGAAAACTCTCCGCCACCACTGCCTCTGTGTTGTTCAGGCTGCCAGTTATGAGATGACAACAGCAGTAAGTACATGGAAAAAGAATGTTGTGTTCTCTGGCTGCAGTGGTAGATGTCATATGCCAATTAATTTTCCTATGGTTCTTTATTCTACCTGCCTCCTCCAGAATACGCTTGAAATCTAAAGAGCCACAGCTATTAAGTTACAAAATTCTTAGGACCCCAGCAGGAAGCTATAATGTGTTTATTTATAATTTAAAAACACTGAAATGCAAACGTACTTCATGCAGAGGGCATCACTTGGGTCAGGAATTTAGACTGTAGCCCCTGCCAGACGGGTTTTATTTTTTTAATTATTTAATAGGCTATTTCATCTGGGCCAGTAACCATTTTTTTTCATCTATTTCTGAAGTCAACCCTTAAACCCATAGCAGAGATTTAAGAAATAGTGTGACGCAGTAAAATCACTAAAGATACAATATATGCCCCTAAAATATTCTGAATGGTATTCAAGGTACTGAATAAAGAGAACTATAGCACATACACTTTCATATTTATAGATAACACCCCATAACTCTGGCCACAGACCCAAGAAAACATTGAGCTAAACTGATCCCTTGGAAATGGGAAGTTTCTGGATGTCAAAGAGCAATTAAAAAGAAAAGGTAAAAAGTTTCTAACACAAATATAACATTAATACATGTCAAAGACTTTATTTAAGTCATTAACTAACAAGTCAATCTGGAAGTCAGCCATCAGTTCAAAGGAGAATTCAAAGAATACACATAAACAGGCAATCAGGAAAGTGAAATGAATTAACTAAGAGATGCAGAACTGGGAAATATCCTGACGGCAACAATCAATTGCATTCCAAAGTATAAAATCCATTTTCATTTCTATGGACAAGAATCATTTGTATGACTATCAATTTCCTACAGCTCACAGTGTTGTAAAATAGTTCAAAGACAGAGAAAGATGCAGGCCCCTACAAAAACTGATCATTCAGCAAGGTGCTCTAAACAGGACAGCCAGTCATCTTTTCTGCCTATTTCAACGTGTTTCACCATTTTTCCTGACAAGA